TTATGTCTATCTATGTATCTCTATCTATCATGTCTGTCTGTCTGTCTGTCTGTCTGTCTGTCTGTCTGTCTGTCTATCATTTCTTCATTTTATGCATGATGCACCAAGCATCACTTGCCAAGAAAAATGTCTTCCCCTCCAACAAAAACCTTCCTGTTGAATTCTGACAAAGACACACTAAACCTACTGGAATTAGCAAGGTAATTAGTCAAGTTAGGCTTGACTAAAGCTCTCCTGAACTCCATAGCTCTTCTTTAAGGATCAGTAACTCTGACTCTGATCAATATATATATATTTATATATATTTAATTGGCCGCCTGGTTAATTAGGACACCTGATGAATGGGAGAAGTTGTTTTCATTGATCCAACCGCTTGAGTATTTAACACACTGAAGCATTGCATGCAGTGGCTGGCTCTATTAACAGCTCTTTATCAGGAGGGTCTGTCCAGGGAGCCGGATAAGGAACATCAGGATGGTGGGCATGTTCCTGTGATCAGAAGCTCACTCCATTTATTGACGTGTTGTACACAGGACACGTAAAATAGGCTGGAGCTTCAGTTGCAGGGACAGGGCCATTCACTTTTTTTGAACCCCACCCCTGACAACCCTGTTCATTATCGTTCCCTCACTTGTGGTTTAGGGCTTTCCACCTGGACTTTCCACACTCTTCCTTCAGCGCGTTATACGAGGTGACCATCAACAGCCCTGGGATCCTCTACCCAGCTGAGCTGCCTCCCCCTTACGAGGCAGTTGTCGGACAAGCTCCAACTAACCAGGTTAGAGGGTGTAGCTGGGAATGGACCAAGTGCACAGGCCGATTTTGGAAAGGTCTTTGTCAAAACCATGGGATCGCTAGTCCTTCCTCTGAATGGAGATGGATGTGATTTTTCAACCTTCTCAAGGATGTGCGTAGACTTGATAGTTGAGAAGCAGAACAAATCTTGCGATGTGCATTCATATTTTCTCAGAGAGCCCAAACATGTGGGCGAAACTTCAATTTAGAGAATAGTAAGAAGAAAGAAGGCGCTTCAGTCCTATGCACTTTGATATTTCTTTAGATAGATTTGATTTTTCAGCCCGTTGTGTCTTACGTATTCTTTCCAAATTGCAGAGTGTGATTTTTTGTTTTTTAACCTGCAAATTCTCATCTCTCCCGGATTGCAAGTTCTACTTGGGCACCCTGGTGCATAATTGCATTGATGAAGTTCGTGAATGCACCTCTCTTCCCCAGGGGCAGAATATAAAGAGACCTATTGAATTGGCAAGTTTTGTTACAATCAGGAAGGGAAGGATTGATTACCCGGGGATAGAAATCTCATTGGCTGCCTCCCTCTTTGTTTCATTGGATTATGATTGGTATATCTCCCTTTTCCATATTTCAAACAGAAGCATCTTAAGGGCAGGAGAGATTGGCTGCTTAGGAGATTTTTCTAACTCATCTCTAAATAAATTAGCTAAAGAGGTGCCATTTTATTTTCTCTTATCTCCAGTTGGGATTCTTTGGGGTTTCTTTCCCATGCTTTCCTCTTTCCTTATCGTTTGACTTCTCTTAATGGTTCCTCTGTTCCAAAATTATTTCTGGATCCTTTTCCAGATATGCCTGTGGGGATTCTCAATTGTCCAGGTTGTCCCAGAGATGTTTTTCCCCCCACAAAAGGCAACTGGACTTTCTTGGTTTTTTTCTTTAAAAAGTTTTGCTTTTTATCCAAGATGCTTCTTCTGTTCCAGAAGAAGGAGAAGGAGAAGGAGAAGAAGGAGAAGGAAGAAGAAGAAGAAGAAGAAGAAGAAGAAGAAGAAGAAGAAGAAGAA